GCTATTGTGGAGAGTGCTGCTATGAACATTGGGGTACATGTGCTCCTATGCCTCAGCATTTCTGTATCCCTTGGGTAAATTCCTAGCAGTGCTATTGCTGGGTCCTAGGGGAGTTCTATTGTTAGTTTCCTGAGGAACCTCCACACTGTTTTCCAGAAGGGCTGTACCAGTTTACATTCCCACCAACAGTGTAGGAGGGTGCCCGTTTCTCCACATCCTCGCCAGCATCTAGAGTTCTCTGATTTGCTCATTTTAGCCACTCTGACTGGGGTGAGGTGGTATCTCAGTGTGGTTTTGATTTGTATTTCCCTGATGAGGAGGGATGCTGAGCATCGTTTCATGTGTCTGTTGGCCATCTGGATGTCCTCTTTGGAGAAGTGTCTGTTCATATCTTCTGCCCATTTCTTTACTGGGTTGTTTGTTTTCGGGCGTGGAGTTTGGTGAGTTCCTTATAGATTCTGGATATTAACCCTTTATCTGATATGTCATTTGCAACTATCTTTTCCCATTCCATTGGTTGCCTATTAGTTTTCTGGGTTGTTTCCTTGGCTGTGCAGAAGCTTTTTATCTTGATGAGGTCCCAATCATTTATTTTTGCTCTTGATTCCCTTGCTTTTGGGGATGTGTCAAGTAAGAAGTTGCTGCGGTGGAAGTCAAGGAGGTTGTTTCCTAAGAAGTCAATTCTTAATGGACAAAGATAATATGTGTTCAGTGCTTGAATTTCAGAGACTCTGGGAAAGGCTGTTGGCGAATTATAAAGTGTAGAATGTATGCTGAAGCCCTGCAGAAAACTGATAGTTCAGGTCAATCTTATAAATATGGTATGTACACCAGGCTTTGTGCTAGGTGGCGATACAAAGAATAATATCTAGACTTTGCCATCATGGCTCTCACAGCCTGGAGGAGATGTAAATGTTTATGCAAATAATACAATACAGTGAGTGGGGTACCTTGAGTGGTTCAGTGGGTTAAGCATATGACTTCAGCTCAGGTCATGATCTCATGGTTCTTGGGTTCAAGCCCTGGAAGCTGCTTCAGATCTGTCTCCCTTTCTCTCTGCCACTCCCTCGCTTGTGCTTTGTGTGTGTGTCTCTCTCTCTCAAAATTAATAAACATTAAAGAAATAATACAATATAGCAATTGATGCTCTAGGTACAATGCAAACAAATCGCTTTGGAAGTACAGACAAGGGAGGTCGAATTCAGAGTCAGACCCTTCAAAGATGTGAGGACTTGTTCAGTGTTTAAATTTTGATGGCTGGGAGGGATCAGGCACGGTTATGCACAGACACTAACATACACTTCCCTTTGAAGTTGGCAATTGCAGAAAACATGTGCATCTTCGCGAGACATTAGCGAACACCTAAAAGTGGGAACCTGAAGATGAGCCTTTTAAAATGCATCGATTACAGCCAAGAACAGCCCTTTGGGTGCTGTGGAAATTCTAATCACTGTGGATCTTTTTGTCTGAGAGGGAAGGGAAGGGAACTGACGTTTACAGGGCACCTGACAGGGGCCAAATGCCTTAAAGGTTATCTCATTTAACGCTCAAGAAAATCCTCTAAGATGAACATTTTAAATCTTTCTAAGCTTCGTAAGTGGGGGTTCAGAGAAGTTAAGCAGTTTACCCGAGAGCAGACAGTTAGAATGTGACCAAACAAGCATTCTAACCCAGTCCTGTGTGACCCCAAAGCCTGTGCCATTTCTAAGTTTCTGCTGCACTGTCCTGACTCCCTGAATCTCCAACTCCCTATGAGTGTTCGCTCCTTTTCTGTTTTCTTGTATTGTTACTACGTCACCTTCATAGAGCCAGCCTTTCCCTTCCTCTTAGCACTTTCATGTTTATTGATGTTGAAGTCTTGGAGCCACTGGTGAGTCTAGCTTCTAAAAGGAGGTACAGACTAAAGTGAACAGGATCATTGCCATCTGTCGACATTAACACCACATCATTATAATCAGAGAGCAGGCATGGTGACATTAACCTTCACTTACATTTGCTTCCTTGCTCGGCACTGTGTAGAATGATTTAGAGGTATGTGATTTCTCCTATCTGGGGACAGATGACAAGTTCCAGAGGATATGTGTGGAGTTTAATGAGAAATAATGAA